GTATCGCATCTTTTATTCGAAATCATGCGTGAAATTATGATGGATATTTTTGCTCAGGCAAGGATTTTTATTTTTTTATTCTACCATAGAATATTATAGACATTGCTTATTAACGATATTATCCAAACGATTATCTCAAATGCTGTTAGCATTTTATTCTTAATTCATAAAATTAGTAGTTCTGTGCATGTCAAAGACTAAACACCAGCCGCGAGGAATTAATCTGGAATCGTAAATTAACCCTCGCTGAAAATTTCTACAATATCAATCAATCCATTTTACATCGGTTCTTGGATAACAAAAATTGTAGAAAAGTCGATAGATGAATGCCTTAACCAGAACTGAAACTCAGAGATATTGTAAACCTAAGAAATGATAGAGTAAAAAAATACAAATTTGGTTTAAAATACTGGTTTTGTTTACTATAATAATGCATAACGAATACAAAACAAAATATCATTATTGAACTGCTGTATTAATTAATTTTTTTAAAGATTTTTACATCGATGACCAGAATCGTTTAAAAATGTTGCATCAAGAATTTTTGTAAGGTATTCTTTATTTAATTGGTATGTCATCATAACCACGTGAGTTTGTGTTTCCCATTTGCTATACTATCTTTTAGATTTGTTTTGGACAAGTGAGACAAAAATTTAAGGTATTTTTTACTTTGGCTGTTGAAATTTCTAAATAATTTGTTGCTTTCTTTCGGTATTTATTAATTAATTGTGTTTTTATTACAAAGGTATCTGCTAACCTATTTGCAACATCTTGATGATCATCTATGATTTCATTTTAAATTTTTAGGATTTTTTTATTGTTGAGCTATTTTTCTTTCTTGTTCGTATATCAATTTACCAGTTTCCAAGTCTCTTTGCTGATGTTTTTAGCCGAAGCCAAATGTTAACGGCAAACTTTTTTGCATGATTGACTTTTCTTCTGTATATACGTGTGTGGTTGTCAAACTGAGCTCTTTATGGGTATATGTAGCTAGTACTCTTTTCATTTTGCTTGAGACTTTAATGCCTCTAGTGATCAACTTTATTGGTTTGTTTTTAATAAGCTTTGTTTCTCTCTTCTTGTAACATTTTCTAAAGATTTTATCAAACTTTGCTAAAAAAGAGTTTATCCCTAGATTATATTATCCATCTCGTGTTCAATACGGCAATTTTAGTGTTCTCGTGAAGCAGTGGACTATCTTGTTTCTGCGTGGTGGAGCGGTGTTTTTAGGTGTGACTACGAGTAGTGGTTTATTCCTCATATCCTTATTCTTGATCGTCGAAGAGATGCATGAATTTAGGTACTCTTTGTTTTCGATGGTATTAATATTGGGAGATTGGAATATGTTTAGATTGCCTGTACTTCTTTGTATAACTTCGTGCTTGCTCAATATCGTCCGTGAACGAACACGTCATTACAGCCTGTGACGAAGTTCTCGGTAAAACTGACTTCTTGATAGTTGCACGTACCCGTTTTTGAAATTGCGGAGAGTTGAACTTTCTCGGCGTACGTGTGCCATCATTGGCTGCAATGTTCTGTAATCTATAATGTAATTTTATAATCTTGTAATTCACAATAACAGACAACTGCGTATTTCAGAAACGGTACCATTTTATTACGCTAGAAGCAATCATAGCCTAAATAAAGATAGTAGGTACTACGTATGAGTACACTGCGTATAGTTTTTCGAGAAACACACAAAATGTTGAACAGCCTGTATTAACCTAGGTAAATTGATGTCATATATATGCCATCAATTCACCTAGGTTAATACAGTCTACATTTGAATATATTGCTGGTACAGACATACGAGTAGTATAGAAATAGATAATTTATTTTCAATTTCGAGGAGCCTTAGAGAAGAAATTTGATTGTAGTTTTTTTATTTTTCATATTGAGAACGCATTCCTAATCGATATGTATATGTTTATTTTTAGGGCAATTAATAAAAAACATGAAACTAAAACTAAAGTTATAATTTCTTTTCTCGGGCACTAGGCTGGACTAGATTTTTTTGCAATAGCCGTTCTAGGATTATTAAACTATGCGTTATTGCAGTATCTCAATGTTTTCTAAAACTTTTAATTGAAGAAGCTTCACTATAATTAACATTGTATGAAAAACCACTTTATCAAAAAATTTAGTTTTAAAATATTAAAATTCATTAAATTATAACAATCTAGTACTGATCATAAATTGTTGCCAAACATTTCATTGTTCAGAGTGCATAAATTTATATTTTACGACTAGTATAAAGTAATATACAAAATGAATATTATGTAAAATAATTAATTTAAAAGTTCTATGTTGGTTAAGTAGTTCCGTAACTTTGCTTTAAGGAGCCATTCTTTGTACCTGTCTATAAACAAAGTTCCTGTGGCCCATACCTCACAGTACTATCCAGTACTGTCACCTCACAGTAAACCCTTATCATAACTAACATGCTTACTCTCAGTAATAGGAATATGTAATCCACGTGTTTTAAATAAGAGTACTGTAGTACTCTTATTTAAAAAACAAAAATCTCATTTAAAATATGAAAAAGAATAATGAAAAAGATGCATATAATATTCATAAGAAACAAACGAACCAAAGAAAGCTAAAAGGTGAGAAGCAACATTTGTCGCAAACTTTATACAATTTAAACATGTTTTTTTTCAGAAAAAAAAAACGGCTATCTTTTCAACTTTTATTTCTGTTATGTTCTATTTATCTTTTCTATTGATCATATTACTAAACGACTTGCAGAAAGAAACATTCAATGTCAATCTACACAAACACATTTCTTTGCAGTATTGCGATTTTTAGACCTCAACTTATGAACAACCCATTCTCATCCCTCACAATAAAAAAAATTATTTAATGCTATTTAAATTGGAAAAGAGCTAGAGCTCTTATAATAAGTTCTTTTAACTTGTGAAGAACCTTCAAACGCGTCATAACCGTGTGCATCGCTTGAGGCGAGACGGCGCGGCGTCGGTCGTGTCTACGTCGCACAGATCAAAGTTACACTATTCCACCAGTAATGGCTTTTTTAATGTGGAGACTTAAAGATAACGGGTTTAAAGATATATTTTTCGTTTACGTCAGTGTAAAGGCTTTCAAAGCTAATTGTATATTACTGAAAATCTTTCAAAAGTCATCGCATTAATAATATTTTTGCAAGTGATGCCAAATAAGGCGCTTTGGTTTTGTACTAAGGAATATAAAATAGTATATTTCACCATAAGTACTAAATATTAAAGTGAAATACTCGATGGCACGATACGTAAGTTAAATAAAGTTTTCGTGTATTGCCACCAGATGAATTCATTTTAATTAAAATACTACTGTGGTATAAAACTTCGCAATTAAAACTAATTGAGACTGAAATCCTTTTGTTTCACAATATCTTTGAAACTCGGCTGTAGACTGACTTCATTAAGATATGAAAAGTGAAGTATTTTTTTTAATTAATTAATTTTGAAGTTGTTTTAGAGTTATCTTTTACTTACTGTATTATTTTATCATACGATGCCTACAGTTCCGTACACAGAAAAGTAGATAAACTGTTCTGTGGTTCCATACTTACATTAAGGAGTAAGAATATAGCAGAACTCTGCCCGAAGCAAAGTTGCCTGTCTGATCTGCTCTCTTTGTTGAAAATGTCAATCACTTCGTCAATTTTCGTAATAAAGTTCGGCCTCAATTCGGTTCCGATCAACTTTCGATCTCACAACTGTCATGATAATTTCGTAGTAAAGTATTAAACATCCAACCTTGCCTGTAATGTGACTATAGCGTATTGAAAGTGAAAATAGAATAGGTAATCTGATAGGCTTAGTAATACTTTACTATTTTACTACGAAAATACCTTTTATGACAGTTGTGAGATCGAAAGTTGATCGGAACTGAATTGTGACCGAACTTTTATTACGAGAATTGGCCTTTTAGACAGCATTACGCAAGTTTTGTAGCCAGACTGCTGAGAAACATAAGTATGTTTCTCAGCAGTCTGGCTACATATTCTGGCCCCTTATGGATACATAAGTATGTGTCTATTGAAACCTACATCATCACACATTACATCAACAGTCTATACTAGTCCACTGCTGGACATAGGCCTCTCCTTAGAAAGGAGGTTTTGGCCTACTATACCACGCTGGCCAGACGGGTCGGTATAGGGTTTGTTTCAAGTTTTCCTTCTCTTTGCAGTGCTGTTGTCATGCTTAGTTTGCTCCCTTAGTCGGCTCTTACGACACCCACGGGATGAATTGGGGTGGTGACAATTTGTATCCGTCACCACACGGACTACTGCTACGGAAACTTACATATTATCGATAAATTACACACAGACACAGATCAAATGATGATGAATAGTTGTGTGATAAGCTCATCACACAACTGTTAGCATTCCAAGTCACTGACCACTACGCCCCTCAAACATAGCAAAGATTTGTAGGCATGCATTGTTTAATTAAATTTGTCTGGTTTTTTCTATGTCAATTATTATATACGAATTATAGCATATAGTATGTCCCAATATCTTTACCAAAATGTAAGGGGCTTACGCACAAAAACATTGACATTCTATTGAAATATATGCCTCCTTTCTTACGACAAAATTGTTATCACAGAAACCTGGCTTGTGGTACTCGTATCTCTGACAATGAACTTTTCAACAATCGCTATAGTGTGTTTCGAAGGGATCGGAATTATAACACTACGGATCAAAAATTCGGTGGAGGCGTACTTATTGCAATACGGAGTGATTGGTCGGTAATGCCGGAACCTGGATTGCACTCATCAGCGGAGGATCTATGGCTAACAGTACACACGGGTAAGTCTTTAGACAGTAGGAAGACCATGAAGTTGCACCTGTCCGTAGTTTATCTGTGTACTCAAAATAAAGGCAATAAATTCTCACAGCAACTATCTCTCACAGTAATTTTCTATCTAAGTTATCCTATGCTTTTTTACTTCACCCAATGGATAAATTTATTATTATAGGTGATTTCAAAATGAGCAATATCCGTTGGGTGCCTAATAGTGAGGCTTCATTTTCACAAGTTAATGTAAATACCCTCGACGAGCATCTCTTGATTGACGAAATACAGACGTATAACCTAGTGCAGTATAGCGGCATTCATAATGAGTACGATAGAATCTTGGACCTCATATTATCAAATGAAGTCATAACCCTATCAGAGTGTGAAGATCCCTTAGTACGCGCGGAACCGAATCACGGTGCACTTATTGTAAATGTCGAAACTATTGTAATCCAGACCCTTAAATCACAGTCATTCACCAAATACCTATATGACAAGGGGGATTTTATTAGCATTAGTGAAAAGATTGATGAAATAAATTGGCATAGTGAGTTTATCAAACGGCTGATCTGTGCTTGATGAGCTTATTCAAAAATTTATTCCGCGGAAGCTGGTTAACAGTAATAAGTACAAGTGGTACACATAATCGTTAATAAAGATTATCAAAGAAAAGCATAAAGATCTATCTAAGTACAAAGTTTATAAGAATAGATCTGACTTGGATACGTTTAAACTGTTGTGCGAAAGGGTTGTAATAATAAAAAATAAAAAAAATAATTATATTGTGTGGAGTCTGTTTTAAAGAAATAAAAACTAACTGGTGGCATCAAATAGTAACAAAATAACAAACTAAAAGTCTCGGGCGCCAGATACCACCTTAAAAGAACACAGAACCCACACAAACACAACAAATACCTCGGACAACTCGGCCAGCACTGGAACTTTTAATCTAGGACGGGGAGCAGCTAATGAATACAAGATGTTAAGTTCTATGGCAGTTTATTATCCCGTAGTGTCTGTAGAGTACAAAGTGTCTTAGGTCTCTAATTACAATAGGTAATTCTTATACACAAATTAGTACTGTCATTAATGCAATCCTTTCAAACAAAAAAATATAAGGTTAAATATGTTTTAAGAGTCACGTCATAAAGACCCAATAAGAAAAGAATCTAAGGGTAGTTGTAGCATCGCCCTACTCCCTTAATTAAAAATAACCCCCTTGGGGACCTGTATAGGTTTTTAAACAAAGTCGCATAAAGACTTAATAGACAACACAGTAAACTCTAAGGGTAGTCGTAGCATTGACCTACTCTCTAATAAAAAATAACACCCCTTGGGGACCTGCAGTATCCAATGCCACGTCGCCAAGAAAAATATAACAAAACACATACCAATGACCTTGGTTCAGTCCGAATGAAATGATAGCAAACCAACTCCGAAAACTCCTCACTCCGGTTTCCACGTGGTGGAAGAGGCGGGTTGGCACTCCCAGGCTCCAGACAATGGCGTGCAGCTAAGCAGCTTTTTCTACCATTTAGGTGCTCCACAGCAAACTAATTTCCTGGGGTCAGGCCGGCGGAAAGACAAAATCCGAATGCCACGCAATGACATTCCAATAAGAAAGTAAAGTATAATTTGAATGTAAAGAAATTTAGGTATAAAAGAAAAATTAGAGTATAATTAGGACTTTAGATATAAACCAAAAAACCCTGATTCATCTGTAAATAAGAAAAAATTATAGGTTAATCGCCTATCTCATAAGATGAATCCTAATTCTGGCAAGATACCATAGATTACTCACCAGGGTCCCAAAATATTTCACAAACTAAGCAGCGGCATTATAACCATTTCCTGTAACCAATTAAACAAAGAGTTAGAACCACTAATTCTGCCAAGCCAAGCATAAAGCACGTGGCCGAACAAAACTTACCTTTTTAATAAAAATAATCACTCGAACCAGTAGCTCGAGTCTTTAACTAGGTTGGCCAGACATTTAAAGAGGAAATAGGCCCTCGTCCATATCAAATAAATATGGATTACTAATAAAATAAATTACAATGACTCGCTCTGCCTCATCTCACTCGTGCTGAAATTAAAAATAGTGACGCTAACGTGTTGCCAGAGCAAAAGCTTGTCACTCCCTCGAACGTGAGAAAAAAATGTTGCCAGGACAAGAAAAACTAAATCGACTAACTATCGCGGGCGAACAACATCGATTATTACTCTCGTCCACCCCTCGACCATCGGCACTCGCAGAAACGACATAAAATTCAACCTAACAAAACAAAAACAAGACTAAGGTTCAAATTACTGTAATGGTGCGAAATGCACCGTTACAGGGTTAAACACTAAGAAAAAACCTGTTATGAATCTTATATGTCAGCAACAGAAGATTAAATTACTGGCAATCCTAAGCAATTCTGGTCGTTTATCAAATCGCGTAACAAATCTATTTCAATTCCCTGCACTCTTGGGTACTTAAATTCAATGGTAAGCACGGCTGAGGATATCTGTAACGTTTTTTCCAGTTATTTTCACTCCACACGAGTTTGTGGTATTAAGTGAGTCACTCGAACTAACAAATAGTTCGAGTGACTCACTTAATACCACAAACTCGTACCAATTACAAACATTTAATGGCCCCGACATCAACTGTATAGAAGCAACAATAGATGAGGTAGAAAAACTCTTGTCCAAGCTAGATCCTAATAAATCCGCCGGCCCAGATAAAATACATCCGCGTTTCCTACTCGGATGTGCCAAAAGTATTGCTTTGCCCATAGCTCTTCTATTCAAAAAGTCCCTTACGGAGTACACGGTTCCACAAATATGGAAATCGGCTTACATTCCGGTCCACAAGAAAGGTCCTAAAACGTAAATAACCAACTACAGACCCATCTCTAAGCTCTGTGTAATATCAAAAGTACTGGAAAAACTGATTAATGACCAACTGTACTCCGCACTCAAGATTTGTTTTAATCCCTCTCAGCACGGCTTCTTGCAAGGACGATCTACCATTTCAAACCTCATTCTATTCAACGATTTTTTAACGCAGGCTATAGATAATGGTAAGCAGGTGGATGTCATCTACACAGATTACATTGATCGTATTGATCAAAGTATGCTTCTACGGAAGTTGCAGGATATAGGGGTAAGGGGGGACCTTCTCAGATGGTTTTCATCATATATTGAAAAGAGATCTCAGGCGGTAGTAATTAACAACTATATTTCTAGTTGAGTAGACATACTCAGTGGTATTCCTCAAGGTTTTCTGATCGCGCCTCTCCTCTTCATCATATTTATCAATGATATCGATAAATGCTTCAAGCATTCTAAGCTTTTATCTTTTGCCGATGACATTAAAGTTTTTGCTACTATAGAATCGGCCGCCAATGTGGATAGACTACAGTCTGATCTTTTGCGCCTAGATAATTATTTCCACATGAACAAGCTAGACCTTAACCCCTCCAAATGCTCAGTGGTAACCTTCACCCGGAAAAAATACCAAATAGGTTCTTTCTACCGAATAAAAGGTCAAGTTCTTCCCAGAACTGATTGTGTACGAGATCTAGGTGTGACACACGACTCTATGCTTTCATTCGAAAGGCATATTGATGACATTATATCCAGGGCGTCTAAAGCTCTTGGCTTCATTCTTCGGCCTGTTTTAAAAGGGCTAAAACCTGGAAAATCCTAAATTGTAGTTTTGTAAGAAGTGTCTTAGAATATGGATCTGAGAATAGATATGGAACCCTCAATCCGACTGCTACATTACGAGAATTGAAAGAATCCAAATTAAATTTATAAAATCACCTTTACGTCTACTAACTATACAAACTTGTGCAAACAATTTCATTTATTGCCTCTATCTGACAGAATAGATATTGCAGATATCTCCTACATATTAAAAATAACATCTAGTGTAATTGCCTGTCCAGAGTTTTTAAATAAACTAAATCTTAATGCACCACCGAAACTTCTGAGACACAAACAACCCTTACATGACCCTCAATGTTCTACCAATTATAGACAAAATTCCTTTATTCCGCGTGCAAGCAATGCCTTTAATGCTGCTGCAAGAAAATATGACTTCCACTTATTTGCTACAAGCGCCACGCTAGCGAGACACAAAATAAGCAATAATTTCTTCTCTTAGATTCATGCCTTAATTTGTTTTTTGTTTTTGTTATTTTTTTATTTAATTGCATACCTACACTTGATCTGTTGTCTCAAACAGCGATTAACGTGTTTCTAGTATTATAATTGTGTACCTCTATAAACGTTGATTACTTATATTGTAAAGCGTGCTTTAAGCCGCTCAAAATATAAATTAATTATTATGTATTGAACTAAACGTGGGGATCAGTAATTGGCTTGCTGTTGCAAACCTTTGCGCTAAGCAAATTTATCAAAGCTGTTGGTCCTCCAAGTTATAAATAAATAAATAAATAAAAATATCACTATCATATTAATCATATCATAAGATTATTTATTAAACTTTATACCTACTTAACAAGAATCCGAGAAAAAAAGTGCCCTACTAAACTAACGCGGGAGTGATTAAATATGTAAGCAAAACCCTCAACATGTTAGCTTAGGAGCATAAACTAACTTTGTTAATATGGACACTCTAATTAACCAAACCAACACCTAGGTATGTACTAAGGGTTGTTCACATCTATCACTTCTTACCTGGTAAGTTCAGACTGATATAAATACTTACATGTGATGTAAATAATTGAAAAAAGATCGGACAATCAGAACTTGAAATTTCAAGTTGACAGTTGAGTTGACGCCATCAACTTATGGCGTTATAAAACTTACGGTTGGCGTTCTCCTTAACCCTTTTCTAATTTGCAAGATTTCTACTAAAACGATTTATTATTTTAGGCCCTTGTCGTGCTAATAAATTTTAATGAAAAATAGATAAAAGAAAGACAAAAAGAATGTCAGAATAATTGCCGATTACAAAGTAGTATACACAGGTACTGGTCACCCCAATTTTACTAACCTTAGAACCGAGAAATATCAGTCGTTTGCTTATCAGTTTGAATAAAAATAGTAATTTATGAAAATAATTTATCAAAAATATCGATGACGTGTGGGGTTCTTGGCTAAGTGGTAAATGAGTAGGTTAACACATTGCAAAGTTAAACAATCGTAGCCCGGTTACTCTATGGATGGGTGACCATTTTTAACAAATTGATACCCACGTCCCACTCAAAGAGCACGTTAAGCCGTCGTCGCGTCGGTTCCGGTTGTTGTAAGCACGTCTAAGGAAATCGTAATGGTTTGTTGAAGCCCTAAAAAGTCCGATAACAGGCTTTCTACAGAACTTCGATGTCGCCTGGTGTTTGGGTTGTGGAGGCCTCATGGCAGTCGCTCTCCGTAAAAATCGAAGTTCAGCCGTATCGTAGTAGACTTAAGGCTCACCCCAACCTAGTTTGAGATAAAAACTCGGAGGAAGATCGATGACGTGTGGGTATACGGCTCCTTATCATCAATTCGATAACTGACGGCGAACAACCACGAGCCAGTCAGCAACGGAGTCGAAACGTCAGGCAATTAAAAGGTATAAA